ATCTCTGCCAGCAATGGCGTTCTTGCATCCTCCAGGGAAAGGGGTGATAAACTCAGGGGAAGTTGCCCTCCATTTGATTTTGACTGTGTTCACGGTACTCCGAGTTTGAGTGAATGGACCATGTGTTCCCTCACATTTCATCTTCCTCTTTCCTTCCATTATTTTTCTTTTCTCTTAGCTTTTCACATTTCTTCTCTTCTGCTACTTATCCTTATTCCTTTCCCTTTCTGACTTTCCATGTTTCTAGGGTTAAAGTGGAAGAAAAATGATCAGCAATGTGCTAGAATCCAGGATCTTGGTCAATTATTTTAAAAATATTATGTCCTTCTTACAGAAGAGCTTTCTCCTTCAGAAATTGCATCAGAAGATAGCCAGTATTAATGAACTTGTGAAAACTAACTGTAGAGTAACAACCATGGGGACATCTAACTCTGGAATTCTAAGTTGGAGTTCAGTTTAACTGGGGGAAAGCCTTACCTTGTATCCATCACTGAAAAAGCTGTATCTATTACATTGCTGGAGTATTATCCATTTTCAAAACTATATCAGTCTCTGACCTACTCTTCCTTTCAAGAGTCATTTTTAAATACCATGTTAATTATATTGTTCCCTGTTTCTCTTTTATTATAGCAAGCTTGGTTGTATGTGTGTGTGTGTGTTTTGGGGAGTGGGGTAGGGTTTGAAGTCATCTTTGCCCCAAATCTTCCCATTAACCAGTAACTTGTTTGTATATCCTATGCCTGCCCAGGATAATCTTTTCTGATTGCTTTTCTAAAAATCTTGAAAAAAATCTTCAAATAATCAAACTTATTTAGACCCACATGAACAAACCTATGGCAGGGAATCTAGAAAGCTTAGGAATTTCTTCTGTTTATCATCTACTATCTGACTGTGCACTAAAGTCATATTCAGTTGGATCAGTGGAACCATTCTTGTTCCCCCTTTTAAAAATCTTTCGCCATCCATTTACGTTCTGGCAGTGTATGATGCACAGGCTTTGGTATCTGTAAGTAGGTTACAGGTGACTCCTCCTAGTAAGACATACTCCTAAGCTTTGGAATTGAAAATGTGCTTTTCATCAAGGATAGCCAAGCTGTTAATCGTTGGGTTCCACTGTAGTGCCACCATGATCCATGAACATTATGTGCTAAATGGCTTCTCTTTTTAATGGAATATCCATTCCTAGTTCTTGGGACCTGAAGAACAGATCTCTGTCCCTCTGAAGGTAGAGAAGTAATTCCCCATCTTCTAAGGAGGTGAATGCAGCAACCCAGGGGCTGGTAGGGATGGGGGTGGTACCAGTCCTCTTGCCTTGGCATCAGTGACTTTGTGAGTAGAGAAACTGGTAACTTGGTTCTCTGGATTTCCTTTAAGAATATACTCTGGATTAGGGAAAAAATCCAGATGCTTCCTTCCCCAACCGTACACTATGCAGCTGTGGTGGGGTGGTACTATTCACACATTATAATCCGTGTGAAAGATGCCCAGTGAAGTTCTGCAAAGCAAAATCTATGTGAGTGTATCTGGTAGTTTTCCATCCTGGAATGAATTAATTTTTTGTCAGTTCATATGTCCAATCTCAATAATGAATTGGGTATAGGCAACTCCTAGTTTACAAAACAGCAGTGTCCTAGTGTACATTTTAAAACTGGTTGGTTGTAATTCAGACTATTTGCAAACAAGAAAAAAGAAATGAGATACATGGTAGTGAGTTTCTAGATTACCAGAAAAAGTCTCAGTCATGCTGTAACTCAACTTCTAAAGGTCTGCAACAGTCTTGCTTTCTATTCTTTAGTACATTATCTACTATACTGAAGAAGAAATCTTCCACCTGGGTTGGTTGTCACCATTTAAAATGAAATTGATCTGGGGAGGTGTATATTGCATTTTGTAGTAAGAGGATACCGTTGAGGTAATAGGAGCAAATCCCACATACCCTTCTCATGCGCATCTGTCTTCCCTCACTCCCAGTCCCTGAGTGGCACAGAGCCTGAAATGGAATGGGCATGAGGGGTTTCATGGCAAAAATATGCAGAAACTGGGGCGGGAGAAGAGTAGTCAAAGAGCTAAGTTCTAACTCCTCCTTTACCCCTACCTCCCGAGAACTCCCAAATAGCAAGACCCCAATTGCCCGTGGACAACTAGCTCATGTCCCTTTGGGCTCCAGATTTTTCCATCAGGAATTCTAGAAGCACTAGGCAAACACCTTTTCTATTCTTGCAACAACTCCTAAAGGTTTTGTGCATGTCTAAAAGGGAGGTGAGTGGCGGGACTTCCCTGGTGGCGCAGTGGTTAAAAATCCACCTGCCAATGCAGGGGACATGGGTTCGAGCCCTGGTCTGGGAAGATCCCACATGCTGCGGAGCAACTAAGCCTGTGCGCCACAACTACTGAGTCCGTGTGCCACAACTACTGAAGCCTGTGCGCCACAACTACCGAAGCCCATGCACCACAGCAAGAGAAGCCATCGCTATGAGAAGCCTGCACACCGCAGCAAAGAGTAGCCCCCGCTCACCTCAACTAGAGAAAGCCCGTGCGCAAAAACAAAGACCCAACACAGCTAAAAATAAATTAATTAATTAATTTATTTTTTAAAAAAGGGAGTTGAGTGGCTAAGGTAGTAATTCTTCCTCCCCAAGACTTTGAGAGCAGGGTCCCACTGCCCCCTGACCTGAGCTGCCCCTGCAGGTGTGGGAGGTCACAGTAAGATGATCCTGAGTTGAATGCCTCTGCTCAGAGATGAGTGCTATACGTGAGGTCAGAGGAGAACCTGTTCCCAAAGCTGTTACTAACAGTGTGAATGTTAGTTTGAATTTTCATTGATTTCAGAGCTGGGGTTTGACCAGCTATGTATTTTAAATGTTAACTTGAAATCACAGCCACATCAGTCATGACCATTGGCATGATTACCTGGACAGCAACTTATTATCTGATGAAATCAGCACCTGAAGGATTTTTGTTCCTTCAGATCCTTCTTTTGTACTTCTGGAGTCCTAAGGTTTCTTAAAAAAAAAAAGTAACAACCTAAATTAGTTTCCCTCAGGCATCTTACCCTGTAGTGTCACTTGGGTGGCTTCTTTCCTAATGCTTCATTATACTTATACAAATTGCAGGTTTTTAATAAGGCCTCCTATGTTCACAGTCCTAGAAAATAAATAGAGTTGGATTCTCACATTTGAGTCATCGTGCCTTCTTTTTCATTTATGAGTATACCAAATACACCTATTTTTATTTGCAGAGCATCTTCCTTTTTTTTGGGGGGGGAGTTCTTTTTTTATTGAAGTATAGTTAATTTCTAATGTTGTGTTTCAAGTGTACGGCAAAGTGATTCAATTATATACGTGTATCCTTTTTCAGATTATTTTCTGTTAAAGGTTACTACAAGATATCGAGTATAGTTCCCTGTGCTATACAGTAGGTCCTTGTTGTTTATCGATTTCATATATAGCAGTGTGTATCTGTTCATCCCAAACTCCTAATTTATCACCCTCCCCACTGATCCCTTTGGTAACCATAAATTTGTTTTCTATATCTGTGAGTCTATTTCTGTTTTGTAAATAAATTCATTTCTATCATATTTTTTTAGATTCCACGTATGTGTGATATCATATGATATTTGTCTTGCTCTGTTAGCATCTTCCTTTCTTGATTCTAGACCCTATCAAATTCCAGTCTGTACTGGAAGCCTCCGTGGCCTCTGGGCTTAGTTGATCTTCAGCTCTCCCTCTATGCAAGAACTTTAAAAATGATACCTTTGTTTTCTCGTACTCTAATAGTTTATCTTGAGTATGAAAGCAAATGATCAAAGTTTGATTCCAATTGCTTCTTGTGGTCTTAGGGTATTAAGGAGAAGTTGAAATTGAAACCTCAGTCTTGTTTAATTGTTAAGCATTTTACTTTTAACTTCATTCTTTAAAGAAAAGGGAAAGAGCTGTGGGTTTGAAGGGTGTCTTGAGTGAATACGATTTAGAGCCCCTCTGAGAATCTTCTAATCACAATACAGGCATCTCTTTGAAGTGTTCACTCCCCAAAGTCTATGGTTACCACATTCATGCCTCAAGGGGTGTGATGGAAATGGCCTGGTGCCATCAGATTAATGAGTTTTCCCACAATTTTTTACCGAACAAACTGCATGAGAGTATGCACCAAACAAGTTGTTAGGGCCTTTCAGTTATCTGTTGGTCACAACCGTTTTTTTTACTCCCTTCTCCCTTCCCTAGGCTGCAAGTCTGGCACAGAATTCCCCTGGATATCCCAGGGATCACTGTGTTGCTCTGAACAGTTTTCTTTTACATAAGGATAAAGATGTGAGAGGTATTAAGTTAAATCATATGGAATTGCCATTTTTGTAAAATATTGGCAGTTTCCTGAGGGTCAGTCTAATAGTTTTCCTCTGATAAACATTCTACCAAAAACAGCATTTTGAAAAAAAAAAAAGAATATTTGGTGAAAATCCACTGTGGGCTTATTTAAAACCGAAGCTTTGAGTTTTTCCAATCAGGAAACTTGTCCTCTACCTGCTTCCTTTTTATCTTTTTTTGAGGATCGGAGAAATAAGAAACAAACCCCTCTGATTTGAAGAAACTCGAATATTTTGAGACCAAAGTGAAATAAGTAAAGTCCCTTGATCCCTGTGATAGAAGAATTTTTTTTTTCTGAAAGTTATAAATGGGTGTTATAATGGAAAATGCTTTCAAACCTTAACCAGAGCATGCACTATAAATAAGAGAGGAGCGGAAGATTAATACATCTGATAAAGCTGAGAAGGAAGAAAACTTAAAATAAGTAATGAGGACTGTCCCTTAGCGGGAATGTTAATACAGCTCTGAGTATATATGTAGGAAAATCAAAGACTTGCAGAAGGCAGCGCGTACTTAACTCTCTTGCCTGGGAGATTTTATTAAATTCAGCAGCCAAGAAAATTGACCTCACTTTTTGTTGTTTTTTTTTTTTTTTCCTTTTTTGGGTTGGATCCTTGCTCACGTCACACAAATGAATAGAGCTGACAATTTACTGGTTCATCAGTGAAACAATATTACATTATGAAGATGTAAGGAAAAAATCCTACGCTAACGTTGTTGCAGTTTGAAAGGTAAGCTGTTCCCTATAAGATTAGGAGACATTAATGTTCCTTTAACACTTACAGAATATAATGCCATGTGTTAATATGCTAAAGAGTTAAGTGGCCTCTTGACATCTTAGACTGTCCCCGTGGTCCTGGCAAGGATTTCGTTAGTATGTGAAGAGGCTCCCATGTTTCCCTCATTCTGTCTTTTAAAATGCAAAAACATCATTTTGAAGCTTTTCACATATTTTATTTTATGGGATATTCTGACAAATGGGACTTTATGGGGTGTGTGTTGCAATGATCATGTGATTCTTTCTGAAAAGTTTTACTCTTGTTTCTATTAATTCCCTGTATTGGCCACTAAGCCATGGTTGTCAGGGTCAGACTATTTCTTAATTTTTGTCTTTTGGTGATGCGCAAGAAGTAAAATATTGTTGTTCTTTCCGTCTTGTCCTGTACTTAGGATAGGAAACCGTCTCTTTTCAGTTCTACCTTCCGTGAACTTACTAAAAGTTCTCGGCGTGCTGTCAGTTACCCATTGGGTGCCTGTGGTCCTTTCCAAATATATCTAAATGTTAAGTCTCCTTCACTCCGTTTTTGAAGGAAAGTCACCTAGTGCCTACTTTTCTAGGCTATCATCAATTACTTAATTGGTCTCCTAAACCCAGCTCCTCCCCTTGGATGTGTGAACCCCTTGGTAATGATTGTCATATGAGTATCACAGTATGGAGGGGTTCTTAAATTGGAAAGTCTGTGCTTCCATCAGACTTCCAAACAGGTTCACATCTCAGGAAAGGAGGCAAACCACTGCCCTGCATGGTTAGCTCCTCCAAGGCAGATAGGTGAGTCATCCGTTACCCTCTTCCCCCATCTGCTGCAGTACCAGAGGCAGAGCAAGGGTGCAGGAAATCATGCTCTCCATCCTGCCTGGTATTGAACCCTCTGGAGTCAGTCGGACTTTCTGAACGGCATTCAGCAGATTCCTGCTTCCATGCGGAAGAAAGCATTTCAGAATTGAATTACCTTTTTCATGACACCCAAGTTGCTTCGCTTGCAGACTGAGAATCATTTAGGCAATGGGAGAGTACTTTTCCATGTGCCAAGTGGGTTGAAATGAGTCTGGTGTTTTCTCTGCTCCTTCAGGTCCAATGACCATGTAATGGAGTTCTGGCCCCAAATCATTCAGTGACATGATTCTGGGCTGTCACCTGTTGCTTTGTGTAACATTGGTTTAGTTTTAATTATTGGTGATACTTCAGTTTGTGCTTCTTCAAAACTGCGGGTGTGCCCTGCTTTAAGAAAACTGGAAACTGCCTCCAATGGATGCCTTTGCACGAAGGGGCGAGTGTTTGCACTCTAAAAATAGGTTGGCTTTATAAAATAATTTATCACAAGATTCCTTTAAATAACTAGCTCTCTTAGAGCATTTAAAATATGATTTGATTTGAAAAAATCGATGTCCACTCACTCAATTTTTCAACAACGCGCACCTGCTTTGTAATGCGAGGCAGGAGAAGGGGGAAAATCAAGCAACAAGGAATGAGGGGCTTAAGTGAGCTGAGGAGGAATTAATTTTAATTTAGAGAAGAATTTGCTTTTCTAGAGTTTCCCAGGGAAAACACCTTCACCTTTATCACCTCCAAAGTACATAAGAGAAAAAAAAAAAAGAGAAAAAAAAAAAGCAGGTCAATTTGAGTTTGGAAAAAATAAATCTACTTTTTCGACGGGTCGCGTTCTGCATTATGCATGTGTGTAAAAGTGAGGTTTGCTTTGATCCTGACTATTAAAAGTTTATTTTTAAACTCAGGCTGGGCAGGAATCCAGCGATGCTCTTTCCCCCTATAGTACATCCTGGTTTCAGGTCCCTAGCCTGGCGGAATGCAGCTAAGCAGCAGGAAATAGTTGAAAAGTGTGGAGACTTGATGGGTGCTGAGCGTTTTTTTTTTTTCTTCCCTTCTTCCCCTCCATTTTTGAAATTCAAATTGAATGCAATTTTCAGCTCATTTGAGCCAGAATATACTGTGGCTGAGCTTCAGTGGCTCTTAAATTCAAACTCACAGGAGAAAACAGATATCATCTGTCACAGAGGGTGGGAGAGAGGACAGTCCTGCATTTTATTCATGGGAGACGCAGCTCTAGTAACTAATTCAAACCCTTCTGACTAATCGACTCATCATTCACCAGCAAACTTATCAACTAATCAATGAAACCTTGAAGACACCCATCTTATGAGGTCTGGGAGCAGTTTCCCCCTCCCTGTAAAGAAGATAATTGTTCAAGTCTATTTTTGTATCGTTGGGATTTTAATACCTCTTTTGCAAACTGAGACAGAAGATTATGGCAATCTTTTCTGCTGCCCTTCCTGACTATTTTTATTGTTTCCATCTTTAATGTCTTTGTCAATGTTATTTATTTATGACTGAGATTAGCAGAAAGCTTACTGCTGGCAAAGTGTGGCCAAAATTTTTAGTTTTTTTTCTTTACTAAACAGACTGCCTGAAAAATATTCTTCTTTCTTAGGGCAAATGTTTAAGTACCAATTAAAAGAGAAAGATCCACTTATTTACAGGGTGGCTGTTTCAGGATGTCTCGAGAATGCCTCTCGGGAAAATTCTGCCACTGGGTGTGTGCCCAGGGAATCCAAATGGATTGGGACACAGGATAATCTGACATCTCTCCTCTGATTTCGGAAAGGATGTGATAAAGCAATTCTGGTTCTGAAATGTAGCTTTTATGCTTTACCACTGGTGCTTATCTTTGACTGTTTTAGTGTTAGCTAAAATTTCCATGGGAACACGAAGGCCATGAGCTTTCTCTTGCTTTTGTTGTTGTTGAGGTTCATGAGAGACAAATTAATTATGATGCTATTTCAAAGTAAGTAGGAGTAAAACAATTAGATCTCTAAACACTATCATTTCTAATGAAGTTAGTTCATTAGAACTAACTTAGTTAGTTCTAATTAGTTAGCCCTCAAACTTGGAGTTTAAAAATGTTTTGCAGTAAGTGTATGATCAGGCCACATATATTTATACTCACACCTGCGTGCAAGCACATATGTGTGTATGTGTGTTTTACATGTCCCCAAGGTCTCCAAGAATGTGACAGCAGGAATTTCCAGTCATTTTTACATTAATAAAGGCATCAACCACTTTACCCTGTTAGTAGCAATGTGCTTATGCTTTAGGTTTCTGATAGAAGGCATTTATTTCTCTTCCTCTATAAGAAAGAAGATCCTGAATTTTTAACCTGTTTTCTCACTATTATACCCTAACATAACTACCAGGACTATACTGTTATTTCTTTCTATAAGAAACCAAAAACCTACCTTGACAGAGAATCCAAATTTTTAGATAACTATTAAATTAGTTAATAGAATTTGTTTTTCTCCTAAAATAGCTGATCTCTTCAATTTACAAGTATTATAATTACTGAGTGCTTACTATGTGCCAGACATTCATTGGGCTAAGATTTGCAAATATAAGATGGTAGCTCTCTAGCCTAAGTGAGGTAAGACATTGGAGATGGAATTTCAGCCTCCATTGGCTGGGAGAAGAGGCTTGTAAAGGTACCCAGTTTCTCAAATGATTCTCAAATATGCGGTCCCCTCCTTTTCCTCGGTTGATAATCACTCGCATAAAACAAATATCTAATTCGGAGGTGGGAGAAAGGATGATACTCAAAATAGTCAGTGGAAAAGATAATAAAGTATGCACACTGGGGTGCTAAATGTACAGTGTTCCTTAAAAATGTTTATGGCATTGGGCAAGGGAAGGACCAGAGGGATGCTGTCCTCCTGCACTGTAGGATGGGTAGCCCAGGGGTCAGTGGAAGAAGCAAGGAGGACCAGTTCAGGAGGGATGCAAAGGTGGAGTCAAAGGGAGGACGCTTGAGGGAGAGGGCTCTTTGGTGTGCAGGAGCCTGCCCATCCCAAGACAACTGAGCATTACATTTCTAGGAGTTTTGTGAGCCAGTTTTTCATGAAATATTGTGAAAATTTAAATTATATAAACTTACAGTAAAGCAATTATCTTAAAAATAAAAGTAATAAATACTCAGAACTTACCTCTGGAAATGGGGCTAAAGAACTGGGAAGTGTTGAGTGGAAAAAAATGTCAGAAGGTTGGGTTACATAAGGAGAATGGTTTCATCTCCATGGAGAGCAGGGCATTCAACTAGCCAAATGGTTTGTGGGTGATTTAGAAATCACTGGGAGCTATTGACTAGTTTTAATACTTTTTATTATTATTATAGCATATGTTCACTCTGGCATATTTGGAAAATAGAATAATAGCTTACATTTCTATAATGCTTTCTATGTGCCCCACACTTTTTCAGTGCTTTAAATATAATAAATCATGAAATCCTGGAAACAGCCTTATAAAGTAGTTGCTATTATCCCATTTCAAAGAAGGGGGAATTGAGGTACAGAGATGTTCAGAAGTTTGGCCAAATACAGGAGCTTTGATTTGAGGGCAGACGCCCCCATCTTGGAGTTTGCTTTGCTGTACTGCTACTTGATGGAGCAAACGACTATACCAGCATAACTCTGCCGCCTGGAGCATCTCTGAGAAACTGGACCAAGAGTGGGATCATTTAGGAGGGAGACGGGAACTCTTTTCGTTGTAGACAGTTAGGATTTGAGCTGTAGGGAATCTGAGGCATGAGGCTCCCATAGCAAATCAGCCTGGAAAAGGAGTGATACCCGAGCCAGAGACAGACAGCCCTTGTGTGTGGTCGTGAGAAAAGGTTGGTCATTACAGGGATGAAGCATAGAAAGTAGAGCCTTAACGAAAACTAAACTTCAGGAAGAAAAACAAGAAAAAGAGGCAGTGAATGAGAGAATGAACACGTAGAAAGGGAGGGGGCGGATGAGAGGCATAAAGGACAGTGTCATGAAGATAAGGAAGGAGCATTTGGGGAGGAAGTAGTGAATTAACAGTGCCAAGGGCTTCAGTGAGATTTTATAATGGTGACCTTATAATTTATTGTGCAAATTGAATCGCTTTGTGAGTGAAGGGGGGAGG